GATGGACAAGCCTGTCCATCCACACGATGGAGCATCATCCAGCCGTAAAAGGAGGGAAATTCTGACACCTGCTACAACACAGAGGAGCCCTGAGGACATGATGCTGGGATGTAAGCGGACATAGAAGGACAGACACTGTGTGATTCCACACACACGGGGTCCCCGGAGGAGTTAGAACACAGGGACAGGAAGCAGGATGGTCACCGGGGGCTGAGGGATCGTGTTTAATGGGGACAGAGTTCCCGCCTGGGAAAAGCGCTGGAGATGAGTGCGCAGCCTTGTGCATATGCTTAATGCCACTGAGTTAAAAATGGCCCAAATGGAACTTTTGTGTATATCGCATCACAATAAGTAAATGCATTCCTCTATGGAAACACATCATGCGACGTTCGCAGTTAGCAAAGTTGGGGACACTATCGGAGGAATGATCACCGACGTGACTTTGCTCACTTTTGGTTTTCTCCATCTGTCTCCTGTTTATTTTACTGAAAGTCACCCATTGGGATGGCACCTGCCTGGGTAGCCATCTCCTGCCCAGGGCCTTGAGTTCATCTCTCAGAGGGAACCTGGGCAGCAGCTCAAACCACCTAACATTTCTCAAGTGCCCACGGGTCCCCACGATCTCGCCGCTCTGCTCTCCCAGCCCCGCCCGCTGCGGCGGAGGCCCGCTCCCAGTGGTTACGTGCGCTTGCAGAAACATTGTAGAAGGCAGAAAGCAAACTTGCAAAAGGAACTTGGCACTTCCTTGGCCCCCTTTCACTTCCTGAGCTGGCTTGTTTGGGGAGTGGGGACTTCCCAGTATCACCACGGCTTCCCTCTCTGCCTCTGACCCCAAATTCCAAAATGCCTCTCCTCCCCCAGCCCCCAGAGGCTCAAGCCCCTGCTCAGCCAGGCAGGTGACGTCCTCATGAGCTGGCAGACAGCGTCTCGTGGGCTCTTACTCAGAACCAGGGCCAAGGCATCTGTTTCCAAGTCATCGCCAGCCAGCCTGGCCTGGCTCTGGTCCCGCGGCCCGTGTGCCCATCGAGGAGGTGGGAGGGAGGGAGGTTACGGGCACGGCTTCTGGGGGCCACAGGCCAGGCCTGGGTCTAGTCTCAGTCTGGCATAGATCAAGTCATAAATCTCTGGGTTGGGGGTCACCATCGGTCCACTGTGGACAGCCCCGCCCACCTTGCACGGTCTGGGGGTGACCACATGCGTTGATGTCTATTACCTGGTACACAGTAAACAGCAATTCGTGGAGACTTCTGGGACCGCTGGAGGGAGGTGTCGGCACATAGGCTCTGCCGGCCCTGATTTGACCTCACTTGTGGTTTCAGACTCCACGTGCTCTGCAAGGAGTGGATTCCACGCAGTTGGGCCTCCTCTGAGATTTCCTGCTGGTTCTGGAATGACCTTGGGCGTCGAGGCCAACCTTCAGTGCTTTGCCCACAGGGCGGAGGGGGGCTCGGACCCCGGCCCTGCACACACTGAGCAATACAGTGTCTGACGTGCAGATGCCACCAAAAGGGGTGAGTAAGCAAGGCTCCCAGCACCAGGCCTGTGCACAAGCGCACAGCCGACGGATCTGCTTGGAGGTGGGAACACGCCTGCTCCTGCCCCAGGTCCATAGGCCTCGGTCCACCTGCCCCACCACCTTCTCTCCAGACCCCGGCTGTGCTGGGTCCTCGTAGGTGTAGGAAGGCAGGGGGTCCAGGCTTGGCGCCAGACCTCAGCCGCCTTCTGGGCCCCCCCCCCCACGTCAGAAAGGCACCCCTTGGCTTCCCTCCACACCCAGCTCCGTCTGCAGTCCCCACCAGCGCCCACCCAACGAGAGTGTGCAGAGCACCCGTCACTGACGCTGGCCACAAGCTGGGAGAGAAATGGACAGGGTGCCGCCCTGGTCCGCAGAGATGGAGGGGGGCGCCGTGCCTTTCAGCCCCCACCATCCCTGACTCTCCCTCCTGTCTTGAGACAGTCCCCCTTCCCCCCGACCCCACCCCAGCCAGGCCTCCCAGCCGCGCCTCCCGCCCCCTGCAGAAGCCTGAGTGATCTTTTAAAAACACACTAATCGCACCATCCCGCCCTCCAACCCTGTCACACCTGCCATCACCCTCCGTGGCCCTTAAAGCCGATATCATCGAAGCCCAGGTCCCATGCACCCACGTGTGTGGGCACAAAACACACACACACACACTCACACTCACCCTCTGCAGACCCTCTAACCCAGCGGTTCTCCACCTGTGGGTCGCAAGCCCTTTGGCGGTCGAACGACCCTTTCACAGGGGTCGCCTAAGACCATCCTGCATATCAGATATTTACATGACGATTCATAACAATAGCAACATGACAGTGATGAAGTAGCAACGAAAATAATGTTATGGTTGGGTTACCACATGGGGAACTGTATTTAAAGGGCCAGAAGGCTGAGAACCACTGAGCTAACCATTCTCAGTTCCTCTAACACCATGGTCGGCAAACTGCGGCTCATGAGCCACACGCAGCTCTTTGGCCCCTTGAGTGTGGCTCTTCCTAAGCCTTAGGAGGACCCTAATGAAGTTAATAACAGTGTACCTACCGAAATAGTTTAAGTTTAAAAAATTTGGCTCTCAAAAGAAACTTCAATAGTTGTACTGTTGATATTTGGCTCTGTTGACTAATGAGTTTGCCGACCACTGCTAACGGGCCCCCCATCCCCACCCCGTGCTCCTGGGCGGTGCTCCCGGCTCAGCTCTGGAGTCCCCGGGAAGCCCACCCTCGCCCTCCCACGAGGCCGATGCCACGCGGTGCTCCTGCTGCTGCTTCCTGGCACACTCCCGGGGGATGAAATAATCACACAGTCATTGTTGAGGATCTCGGAGGCAGGGCCAGACCTCAGATTCACGCTGGAGCCTGGACCAGTGCCTGTGGGCAGGGCGGAGCCCAAGGGTCCCTCACCCGAAGCTGTGCTGCTGGTGCGCCCCTCACACATACAGAAACACAGGCACAGCGATGTCCACACACATGCACATATGTGCACGCGCACACACAGCTCTGAGCAGCACGCCTGACTGAGAACGCGGGTCTGAAGGGGTTACAGCAGGACCTTCCCTGGAGCTGGAGAAGGGGTTGAGGCTGCTGAGGCCACAAGGGCGGGGATGGTCGCCCTGTGGCTCCAGGCCCAGCCACCCGTCCCAGCAGCCCCGTGCGAGGCCTCTCAGTAGAGGGCAGAGGAAACCAGGGAGGCCCGAGGCCCAGGGGGTGCGGGCGAGGCCCTCCTGGGACCACGGGGCACACCCCTGGCTCCTGCAGACCCAGCCAGGCAGGGTGGTGAGCCTGGGCCTGGGCTCGGGCCTGACGCACCCCTGGGGGCCCCTCCCCGTGGGTGTGGGCGGGACTCTGACTGGGACCCAGCCCCCTAGGCCTCAGCAGTGAGCCGACTTCCTGTCTCTTCACTGGGGTCCTGTGCACACACCTCCTGCATTGTTTTCCTTCAAATCAATCACTTTTTAAAAAACTCAACTTTTCCTAAGAAATACCTTTGAAATAACAAATATGCTAAATACATATCGATATATTTTTTCTCATACATATTAAAATAAATGTGTTGCTTTAAATTCAAGTGACACTAGTCTCACGGCGCCCGCTGGGCACTGAGAAACAGTCACGGGAGGACCGAGGCCGCGGCCCGGGGCCGCCCAGCTCCTGCCGGCTGGTTTCCGGGCCCTGGCTTGGTCCCGACGGGCCCCCAGGGATGGTCTCGCCTCGTCCTCAAGAAAACAGCTTTGACAATTTGCCAAAAGTTCAAATTCTGCAAATTTTTGCAAATTTACAAAAACTGAGGCCTAAAAGCCCCCCTGAAGCCAGAGTGGGACCCCGGTTTCCTGACTTCTGCCCCAGGTGGGTGGGTACCCACCAGGCTGGCCCCCCACCAAACGGGTCACGACACCTGCTCTCTGGGGGAGGGGCTGCAGCGCCCCCCTCTCCCCACCTGCCCTGGGTCCCCAAACACTAGCCCCACGCTGCCCTGCGCACCTCTCCACCCAGGCCACGCCGGCCCTGGGCCTAACAGGAAGGAATAGACCAACGGTGCCTGTTTAACTTCAGTTCTTAGTCGTAAAAGCTGTGCTCTTTTTTTTTTTTTTTTTTTTTTTTTTAGCGCCAGCCACAGAGAAGTGCACAAAGTAAGAATCGAAAGCGTCTCTTCCGCGCTGCCCGCCCTCCCCGAGGTAGGTTACGCTGGTAAACATCCTTCTAGACCCGTGGTTCTCCACCTTCCTGACGCCGCGACCCTTTAATACAGCTCCTCGTGTTGTGGTGACCCCCAACCATAACATTATTTTCGTGGCTACTTCATCACTGTGCTGTTGCTACTGTTATGGATCGTCATGTAAATACCTGATATGCAGGATGTATTTTCATTGTTACAAATTGAACATAATCAAAACACAGTGATTAATCACAAAAACAATATGTAATTATATCTGTGTTTTCGATGGTCTTAGGCGACCCCTGTGAAAGGGTCGTTCAACCCCCAAAGGGGTCGCGACCCACAGGTTGAGAACCGCTGTTCTAGACCTTTCTCACACACACACACACACACACACACACACACACACACAGTCTACGTCCCCATTGTCACGACGTCTTTTTAATGAAAAATGGCTCCCTATGTCTTTTACAGCTTCTTTCCAATGCCATCTAGAATCCGATCGTTTGCCCTCCTGGGAGCCACCATAGTCCACTTACTGATCTTTTTCATTTTACCCAGATCCGATCCGCAAAAACATGGACGTGTGTTTAATTTATTTCCCTGATCATGGCGCTGCCTTCGCGCACGTCTCCCGGACAGCCAGCCTTTGGGGCACTCGGTGGTGAGGGTGGGGGGATCCCGCGGCCAGGGCTGGTCGGGGGAGTTCTCTTTGGCCGGGCAGTCCCCGCCCCTTCCGCCCACCCCAAAGCCTGGAAACGAGGACTTCCCTCTCCCACCCACGCTGCCCGCCCTCGGCCTGGCCCAGCAGCCGGGGGAGGCCACCTTCCGCTCGCAGAGAGGAAGCAGCATCCTCGATTGTTCTGTGCGGCCCCTGGCTCAGGCCCAGCTGCAGGAAGAGGCCATGTGGTCACCGGCCGTCCCTCGGCCTGTCCCAGACCCGCCGGAGCGGCAAGCTTCCTTGGGCAGTGGCTTCAGCCCTTGGGCTGGTTCCTCCTCCTCAGATGAGGTCCTTGGAAAGTAACAGAGGAGAGGGAGCAGGCCCCGCTGCACGCCAGCAGCTCCAGCGCCCCAGCCCCAGGCCGCAGGCCCTTCCCACCCGCTCACCGAGGCAGCCCCTGCCACTCCACCTTCTGGCTGGAAAGACCCTCAGATGTCTCATCGTCCAGGGCGCTCACGCTGTAGACGGGTGCGTGAAACCCAACCCCGAGAGGAGGCAGCCGCAGCGACAACACAGCATAGCCATCTTTATGCTGACGCTGCCGGCGTTGCTCATTAATAATTAATCACCAGCAGTTATGACATTGACAGCTACCACGGATCCAGCCTTCTGATGCACCAGGCGCTGTGCTAGGTGCGCGCCATGCCTCCCCTCACGTAACCCTCACCGCCCTGTGTGAGGGAAGGCCTGTTCTCCCCACTTCACGGATGGGAACGGTGAGGCTCAGAAAGGTTGAGAGACTGGCCCAAGGTCACAGCACCAGTGAATGGCGGAGCTGGGCCACACCCTGCTGCTCTCCTCCCCCTCCCCCCACAGTCTGCCCTTTGGCAGAACCCAGAGCCAGAACCGAACCAGGCCCTTGGCCATAGCCGTGGGCCAGATTCCCGTGGGGGCTCCAGAGAGGGGCAAACTGGGGACAACGTGAAGCGTCTCCCACACAGGCGAGAAACTGTGACTTGTCACTCAGAAGACTGTGCCAGCTGACAGGTGGCGGTTGAGGAATTGCGGGGGACGGGGCTGTGGAGGCAGGTGTCTCCAACAGTTTGGGGTGAGGGGGGGGTTGAAAGCAATGTGGGTTGGACCCAAAACCATATAGCATCCTCTCAAGCTGGCTCGGAGAAGCTCGGCAGTGTATGGCTGACTGTGGGAGTCACATTATTGTCCCCTTCAAATATTTCAGACCCAGATTGTCATTCTAAAAAGTTCTCCTGGATTAGAGATTAATCTCCAGCAGGGATCATGTTTGGGGGTATTAATAGGTTTTGGTTAAGTATTTGGAATTATTTTAAGTATAAGCCCATGTGTAGCGGGCCCGCCTCGGGCCACTGAAGCCCAGTGCGTGGGTTTCATTTGAATGATTCAAATTGTCTGGGTCTCGTCCGGTGGTTCTCAACCAGCAGTGGCTTCGCACCCCTCCCAGGGACAGCCGGCCGTGTCTGGAGACACTTTTGTTTGTCGCGACGCACAGCGCAGCCTCTAGTCCCGGCGGAGCCAGGGGGCAGTTCTGGGCAGCGGGAGGCCCCTGGGCGGCCCACCGGCTCCTCCCTCCTCACTCTCATGTGGCGGGGCTTAAAGACATGAAGAGTCGCTGGGGGCCAGGGAGATGGATGGGAAGAGTGTTTGCGTCACACTCACTCAGGCCTCCTCCAAGCCAGCCCTTCCCGTTCCCAGCGGCCCCGGCTCAGAACAGCCGCTATTCGGTGATTCTTAAAACAATTTTGTTGATTAATAGTAAGTCGAGCAGCTTCCAACTCAGCGTTTCAGCCCCGGGGCGTCACCTACACGAACCGTCTCACGAACCTCACCTACACCTGTCCTCTCACGAACCCTCACAGCAGCCGATAACAGCGCTGACCCTCAAGCCCCGGCGTCACCACCGGTCAGTTGTTCCGACACCAGGGTCTGAGCCCATGAAGGACACGACCCTCCCAGGGAGCCTCAAACTCTGCCTCTCCTCGGGACTGGGCCCCTCCACCCGGATCAGGAGCCCAGGAGGTGGGACGCCGACACAGAGGGGCCCTCAGGAGAGAGGACGGACCCAGGGAAGCAGGAAGGCAGCCAGGAAGCCGGCCGT